GGGGGGGGGGGAGAAAGGTCCAACAAGAGAGAGAGAGAGAGGGAAGTCAAAAAAGAAAAAGGGAGACAGAGAGGAAGCGGAGGGTTAGTGACAGTTTGTCCTCGTCAGCCAAATGTGCTGTCCAGAGATCATGAGGACAATCAGGAGCTGCCACACACACACACACACACACACACACACACACACACACACACACACACACACACACACACACACACACACCTAAATATTTAAACTAATGAACAGCACATTCTGTTTTAGTGTGCTTTTTGTTCAATTAGGTTAGATGTTACGTAAGGGGATTTTGTAGACATTTTTGTAGACATTTCCAGACACCTAAATGGACCCTTAGTAAGGGTAATTATTTTTCTGTTACAATAATTGTTGTAGTTTTGGGCATCATTAATGAGATCTTGGAAAGTCAAGAACAAGAAACAAGAGCATTCGGACATCAGATCGACTTTGATCGATTGCCATCTCTGGTGTTAGAGTGTGTTTCCGTCTCCTTACCACGTGTTGTACAGGCATGGGCTGGGGGGCCATGGGACCCGGACCCCACTGAGTGGTCGACATGGTCTTATTGTGCCAGTTGTGTCCTCCCGTCAGCTTCTTCTCTCCCGGATGGTTCCACTGCATCTCTGGCCTGTAGAGGGACGAGCAGCGCAACAAAACAAACAAACACAGCGTCAAGATCTTTCTGTTCTGCAACCTGAGGCACCTTCAAAACACCCAAATCATTTCTTGGAGGATACCAACCAACTATGTGCAATGTGAGCGTCCTTAACAACGGTCAATAAGTCTGTACTACTGGATTAACAACGTGTCACGTGTTCTGAATTGACCAATCAGAATCGAGTATTCAACTAAGCCATGTAATAAATAAACTTAACACAAAAAGTAAGGCAATTTGTGTTTGTTAGATGATTTCTATGTTGTAACAATGATTTTTGGCAATACATCTTATACCGTTGGAAAGCCTGTTTTCTTACCTTTCCAATTGTTGTCAATATGTCTTTATTTATTACACTTCAAATCATCAGATCCCAAACACACCAAACAAGAGTCAGCAGCAAAAAAAAGCTGTTTGACATTGGCAGAGGAGATTTGTCACATTGTTCATGGGCGCACCCCACATACTCATCTCTGGGGCGCACCCCACATACTCAGCTCTGGGGCGCACCCCACATACTCAGCTCTGGGGCGCACCCCACATACTCAGCTCTGGGGCGCACCCCACATACTCAGCTCTGGGGCGCACCCCACATACTCAGCTCTGGGGCGAACCCCACATACTCAGCTCTGGGGCGCACCCCACATACTCAGCTCTGGGGCGCACCCCACATACTCAGCTCTGGGGCGCACCCCACATACTCATCTCTGGGGCGCACCCCACATACTAAGCTCTGGG